CCTTGGCTGCCTTGGCTTCTGCAAGGAGAGCCTTTCCTGCTGCCTGGTGACTCAGGCACTGCTGACAGGTTGGCTCCTGCCTCTTCCTGGCTGTTTGAGCCCTGCTGTCCATCCCATCCGAGCAGGGATTTGACATTCCCATGACAGTTGTGCCACGAGTCTGAGCAAGTGCTGCCTCTGCGGGGAGGCTCAGCACAGACACAGGGTAAGGCAGCACACTCACAGGAGCTGTGGAGCAGCTGCACCTTCCCTCCAGTCTCTGGATGCCCTTTCTGGTTCAAAACTCCAGCTTGAGTCCCCACTGAGCAATGTGGCACATTATAAAAATGATAAGAAAACACCTGAGTGATGAACCCCATGAAATAAAGTCTCTTTTATTTATAAAATGTGAAATAAATTCTCTTTTAGGTCATGAAAGGCCAGCAGGAGCCCCAGCTCCAGCCCTGGGCAGCAGCCGCAGCATAAAACCACCAACATCTGCAAGTGTTGCAACATCTGCAACTACCAACACAATGCAAGCAGCTTGGGAGGCCAAATTTCAGGGGACCATGTCCCGTTCCTGTGTTTTTCCAACTTGTTGCAGGAGTAAGGGAAGGGTAACCCAGTCAAAGCCCTGCTGAGCAGCACTGAGAGATGTAAGTGATCATTTCACTTTGTTTTCAACCCAGACCTTTGCCTTGGGAATTTTAACAGAAGCTGTCTGAACCAAAAAGGCTTTTCCTTTTTATTCCACCTTTAAGCTGCTAAAAGCTGTACACTGGAAAATAGATATCCTGCCTGGGGCTTCCTGGTAAACACTGGGATGTTGAAACATCTTACCCCAGGCTGCTTTCTCCCCCTTTGCAATCCACAGAAGGAAAGAGAATTCAAGGAAGAGCAGTTAAAAGGTTTGTTACACTCCTGTAAACAGCAGATGATTGGCAGGGCTTGACATCAGCAGTTTTTGCAATAAGATCCACATGTGATGCAGGGGCTGAAGGTAGAAGCAAGGAGGAGGATTGGAGAGGGCTCAGAAAGTGCTGCTGAAGGTGTTTGCTCAGAAAGTGATGCTGAAGGTGTTTGTTTGAAGGGAATTTTTGACCAGTTCATATGGGTAGAGATGGGGGAGGCACCAAAGCAGCAGAATCCTGCTGGGGGACTGGGGGAAAGCAGCCCCAGAAAGGGACAGAGCTGCAAAGTGCCACCAGGGCATTTCTGCCAGAAGGGACTGCTCCAGCAGAGCTCTGAGGGAAAACAGTGAGGAAAATACCAAAACAAACCAGCCAAACAAACAAAAAAAACCAAAAACCATAAAAAAACCCACAAACAAACAACAACAAAAAAACCCCAAAACAACAAAAACCCTCCAAAAATAACAAACAACCCACCAAAAATAACCAACAACCAGGCAGAAGAGGAGATACTTGCATTTCTACAAGCACAATAAGACGGATATTTTGGGATGGCCAAGAGAAGCCATTTCCCATTCCCTCGCTGGATTTCTGAGTCCAAACTCTCTTTCCTAAAAGATGTCCTGTTTCCTCAAGCAAAGTGATGGTCTGAGTCCATGGCTTGCTCTCTATCTACTCATACTGTCTTTAAAAACAGGACATGGCATTTCTTTACAAACTCTTCATAAAAATCATTTCACCATGTATTGATATACAAAGACAACCATTTCGATTTTAGTCCTGGACTACCTCTAATCAACATTACCAAAAAATAACGCTAATTAAATTATTTTACACTTTCATCAGATCCTCTGAGCTATCACAGATCCCCTACTCTGCATGGCCAGGGAACACTCTGAAATCCACAAACCCAGGGCATAGAAGGGATTTACCTGAGAAACAAAATATTCTTAGCCAGCCACAGCCCTGTGCGATCCCCACCTGCACTGGGAATTTTCTCTCAAGATGCATTTGCTAAAATCCAGCCTCAGTTTCGCACTCTTTTGAAAGGGCAGAAAACTGATTTCCTGTGGCTCAGTAATGAGAGCAGTAATTGCCACGGGGCTGACAATAATTTATGCAGAAGTTCTCAATTGCTTCTAATGGCCTGTCAGATGGTGAAAGGGAATGCAAAGCAGATCATCAAAACCACTCCTGAGAACAACATTCTTGAAACCTGCACTGCTACTGAGGAATATGAAAAGGAAGAACTGGGGTGGCTTCTGGAGAAGCAATAAAAGTGCACTTTTATCCAGAGATTCCTCTAGATCAGATTGCCTGACTGCACCAGAAATGGAAATCACGTTCTCCAAGACTCACCCAGATCTGAAATGAAGATGTGAACACTCACATCCATGATGCTCCACACTTACACAAGGCTCCTGAGCACTCTAATATTTGTTGGAAGTGTGAATTTTATCCAGCTTTTTTCCTTCAAAAGCCTCAGGAGAAATATATTTTGCACTTCAACTGCAGACAGCAGCTAATATTAATTCTGTTACAGCATCAAAAGTAATGAGTGGGTTTCAAGAGCCAAGAAAAGAGTTATACTAATTTTTAAAAATACAGATGAGTTCAACTTATTATATTAACCAGTAATGCCACTGGTAGATATAAGTTTAGGATGTGTGAGAGGCAGATATAGATATATTAAATAAAGGCAGATAAATGCTCAGTTTACAAGTGGTGTTCCCCTGACATTGTGTTCTAAAGTCTCTTGTTTCCATATTATCCTTTAATCCTCCAAAGCAAGACTGTCACTTCTGGGGGAGTGACAACTTTTCAAGGTACTCCAAGTAAGAAGTTGATGAGCTCAGAATATTGGCAGTGGTGGTTGAATAAATCAGTGTGGAAAGAAAACTCCTCTTAGCTCATTTTCAAAAGGAAAATGCATTTCATTTGGAAAAACAAAAGAAAAAAATAGAATTTTAAAGAGGAGGCAAGATCAAGAATACAGAACAACATGTGCCAGCTCTCCTTTCTAACACCTGGCTGTACTTTCAGCAGTAAATATATTTTTTTCAAGGAAAAAAAAAAGAAAACAACATAAAAGTTGCTAATAAGTGCATATTTCAATTAAATTTTCATTCTGGGGAGAGTCAGGAAAGGAGAATACTGAAGACAAACCCATTAAAATCATTTTCAAGTGGGATTAATCCCCACTTCACCAAGGCAAAATCAAGATTAATATGTCCATTTTCCAGTGTTTGGGACTCTTCAAAAAGGTCATCTAACAATAAATTAAAGGTACCCTTGGCAGCAATTTATGATATACTAATTTTAAAATTAAATGGAATTATTTATACAGCTGCTCAAAGAAAGAATTCCAAAAAAATTGTGGAAGATCTTTACAATGTGTTCCACAAACTGGATTACAAGATATTCACTAATTTGATTTATTTTCTTGTGTACACCAGGGCAAAACCTTTCAGGAAAACAATTCTTAAAGCAGGGAGAGCAGTGACTATTGAATAGAATGCTGTGCTGTGGGAAAACACAAACACATTTTCCCAGGCTGTGCTGCTGAGCTTTCCAGACTCCCTCAGAATCTCAGCTGGCTCCTGTCTTCCCATGGGAAAAGAAACATTTTAAATGCAGGATCAAAATAATAAGAATAACAATTTGAAAAAGAAAGGAACAAGCCTCCACTGCCTGATGACACAGCTCCCCTCTTCCTAAAACCTGGAGAAATCATGCTTTCAAAATTCCTTCCCCCCAAAATCAAATCAAATAAGGCACTCTGCACATTTAGTCTGAGCTAAATCCTAATTTTGTAAAGAATCTCTCGTGGTTTATACTGTCCCCAAGGTATCCCACCAGAAATCATGCTTTCAAAATTCCTTTGCCCCAAATTAAAACAAAATAAAATAAGATAGGGCAATCTGCACATTTAGTCTAAGTTAAATTCTAATTTTGTAAAGAATCTCTCATGGTTTATAATGTCCCCAAGGTATCCCACCAGTGAGATGAGGTAATTCCAATAAATAACATTTTCTTCAGTTAAAAAAAAAAAAAAGGCAATGACTCCTTTATCTTTTCATGCCTAAATGGAGCACCTGCTGGATCAATAGCCAAGTATTCAAAATGCAGTGAGGAAGCAATGAAAGAGTCCCAATTATTTATAAAGGATTAAAGAACCCCGAGCAGGAGCCAGGAGCTGTGCATGGCTACGTGCTGATTGTGCTGCTGAATGGAAGGGAAGGAGGAAGGGGCTGCAAGGAAAGCAGCCAAAGGAAACTGCAGCAAATGTAAAAAGCATTTCAGGGCTATATTTAGAGGAAGACATTCTTCCTACATTTGCCAAGCTGCTCACGTCATTTCACACAGCATGTTTGATCCAGCTTTAGAAGTCTGGGAGGGAGCAGGAGAGGGGGGGAGGAAAAAATCTGGATCAGCTGCCAGAAATGGAAATCTTGAATTTATAGAGAGGAACAAATATTTTAAGCATGTGAATTCAAGAGTGCTTTCCAAAGAGGGTGGGGGGGAATTGGGAAAAGAGGAGGGGGGCAGGCAGGGTGGTAAAACTTCCTGCAGCCAGAAAGGCTCTGCAGAATATGGAGAATATTTACCAGGAACAGGACTTTGCTCCAACATTCCCTTTGGAGCCAGGCTCACGAGCCTGAGCTGCACCACTAAAAATACTAAAATGTGTGAATCTCACTGAGTTCAAGCCTTCATCTGGTGTAAACTGGAGATCTGTGCTCCTGCAATGGGATCCAGCAGTTACATAAGCAATTACATATTTCTCATCCATAATATGTGATAAACAACCACAAAGGATGAATCAAACACCCTCCAAATGCAGGCTCAGAGGTGCAAACTGTATCAAAACCCCTCCAGTTTCACAAGAAAGTTATGATTTTCCTTTAACTCACGTCATGAGGTTCAGGATTTGCATAAAGAAACGTCAAGATGAAAAGAAAAATATGTCAGGAGCAGATGTAATGGGATCAGGAACAAACCACGTGGAAATTTCCTGTTGGTGACCTTCTGGAGGGTGGTGATGGAACTGATTTGAGATTTAGGACATGCTTTGCTTAAACTGAGATGACTTCTGTGAAAAGTTTTTACCTTCATTCCCTTCTCCAGGTGGCTGATAAAACGAAAGCCCCAAAGATATGATGGCTGCAATTTCCAAGATGATTAGAGTCACGTCCTGCAACGCTTCCCAAACTAGCTGTATGAATGTTTTTGGCTTCTTTGGAGGTATAAAATTTTTTCCAAAAATAAGCTTTCTTTTTTCTAGGTCTGCAGCAGTGCCAGCTAATCCTGTAAATAAAATAAAATAAAATAAAATCAGGTCAAATTGCCATGAAATAGAAAATGTATCCCTATAAATTCCAAGCTGTAGCACCTATGGCATATTGACAAACGTAAATATTACACTTCAATTGTGCTTTCATGACAGAATTTGTCCTGATATTCTGAACAGAATTCTCATGAGTTCCATTTAGCACTAATTTCTGCCATGTTTAATAATTAAAAAGCCTCTGAATTCAGATGTTTGTATTAATAAGACTTATGTATATACATATATGCAAACAATGACTTCTGAAAATAGATCCTAAAGCACAAATTATTTTCGGGATGAAGCTGGAAGAGCTGATAGAAGCTTTTGGTAATACCTGTAGCAGGTCACACAAAGCTTTGTTCTGAATGCAAAGGATAAATCAATAAAACCTCTGTTGTGCTGCTTCAAAGCAACTTCTGGCTGCAAATGGACTTCAGCACATCCCTGGAATGAGCTGCATCACATTTTTGTCACAGGAAAAAGGCAAAGTGACAAGTTAAATATGCACACAGGCAAAAGGAAACAACATGGCTCCACGTATTTTACATGATGCTTCAATTTAAGAGCATTTCAATTTAAGAACACAGGATAACAATGGGCGATTGTGCTGAACAACCCACTGGGGTACTTTTTTCCCTCCTTTTTTAAGTATATTAAAGGATGCACTTCTGCTGCATTTCCAGAAAAGCAAAACAAAACGAAACAAAACCACCAAAAATAAACAAACAAACCCCAAAACTTGCAAGCATCAAGGTAAAATAACTGAGCCCAAATATCCCTCTGAGCAGCATAAAAAACTGCAAGAAGCGTTCCATATTCCTGCCAAACAATTCCTGCTATCATTGGTTAGATTGGAAAAGACCTTTGGGATCACCAAGTCCAGCTGTTCCCCCAGAACTCCCAATCCCACAACCACACATCCCTTAAACCCCTCCAGGAGTGGTGACTCCACCACAGCCTGTTCCCATGCCGGTCACCCCTTCCTATGGAGAAATGTTTGCTAACATTCATTTTCCACCTCCCTTGGCACACCTGGAGGCTGTTTGCTCTTGTCTTATTTGGAGAGCAGACCAACCCACCTGGAACATTGACAGAACTTTAGTTTTGAACGTGATCAGCAACATATTTATGGTTATTTAGGATTGTTTATGGCTATCCATTGTTACATGACACCAGGAAAACACCAGGGTTGAAGAACAGAAGGAGCAGAAGGTGCCTGTGAGTGAGGAAACCACCAACCCCACGCCATGAGGATTCCTGGAGTCGGGGCAAATCCCTGCCTCCCCCAAAGCATGTGGGATACCTCAGGAACAGGAAGCCCTGCGAACATCCCCTCCAAGCAGTGAGGGAATGCCAAGGGTCCCCACTCTGTGCCTGGCTCCCCCAGCAGCCCCGTGGCACCCCAGTCCCTCCCGGGTGGTTCCTCCGTTTCCTCGGGACGAAAGCGATGCTCCCCTGGCCGGATCAGTCCTGCCTCACTGCAGGCACATCCTGACTCACCTTTCCCTTCAGGTGTCTCCTTACAGCTGCTGGGAGGCTTCTGGCTCTTGGTTAACTCATCAAAGTTTCATTTCCCCCTCAGCTGCTGAGAAACACGAGCCCCTCCCGCGGATCAGGGGTTATTATTACCTCACCCGTTTAATTTGCAGGGCCTCGTGCTCGGTGACACTGGGACAGGTTCCAGCATCTGCATCACCCTCCAGCATCCAAACTCCTCTCAGAGCTCCCAGGCAGCTTCCAAGGCTGGGAAAATAATGAGTTGCTGCCTCTTTTGTGAGCCCGCAGAGGTCACAGAAGTTTGGGCAATGCAGCTGAGGGACGAGGCAGCGACTCCCAGGGACCAGGTCCAGCACACACCAAAGCAGGGCAATCTGAGCAGCACCAGAGGCTGCCAAAAGGAAGGATTTATACTAAAAATCACAGGCTCATGGGATCATTAAGGTTGGAAAAGACCTCTAGGATCATTGAACCCAACTTTTAAGTCAACACTGCCAAGTCCACCTGTTGCCTCTGCTGAGGCAGGGCGACCTGGTTCGAGAGTGGCACAGCAGCCGCCTCAGGCTGCTTGGGCCAATCACTCACAGACACCAATATGGAGGACAGTAAATGGCGTTTATTCCCTGGTTACACAGCCTTATATAACCTTCGTCTGCTTAGGCAACAAACCGGGAGAAAGGGGAGGTCCCTATCTTTCCGTCCAGCGCGAGATCTTCCGATCGCCTGTCCCTATCTTCCCACACTTCTCTATCCTCCCACATCCACCACATCCCCAGGCACCTGGGTGTTTCAGAATTCTTCCAGGGATGGTGATTCCACCACTCCCCTGGGGAGTCTCTTCCAGTCCTTGACAACCTTCCATGGAGAAATTTTTCCTAACATTCCATCTAAACCTCCCCTGGAACACCTCAAGGCCATTTCCTCTTGTGGACCTTGTTCTCTGGGGGCAGAGCCTGACACCCCCCGGCTGTCCCCTCCTTTCAGGGAGTTGTGCAGAGCCAGAAATTCCCCCTGAGCCTCCTTTTCTCCAGGCTGAGCCCCTTTCTGCCTCCTCCTCATGGGACTTGTACCAAAGGCACCCCCAGTTTGCATCACACCCCCAAAAGTCAACCTACTCAACCTCACACGTGAAGGAGAAATTCCATGGGCACCACCGACAGGGATTTGGGGTAGAAATTTTTATCTGCTGCAGCTTCAGGCAGCAACACAAAACTCTGGAAGCAAAAACTCAAAGAATGGAAGGAGCAGACAGGAGCTCAGGCATCTGAGCAATGCCTGTTTTCCACCACAGAACATTGGTGCTCAGTGGTGGGGCAGCTCCAGCAGCTCAGCACAGTTCTGGAGCTCTCCAGCATGGCAGGGATGGCTGGGACAGCACAGGGAAAAGCTGCAGGGATCCTCAATAATCCCAGTCACAGTTACCAGGATGTGCTGAATTCCCGAGTTTGAAATGATGGCCTGTAGCTCACTGCCAGGAGGGCACACAAAGGACAGCTCCCGTCCTGGGTTTCTGATTTGTGTAAAATACACCTGAGGAGCCTCCAAAGCCAAGGAGAGACTGCAAGCCCAAGAGCTGCTTTTTCTCTAAGATAAAATTTGGCCGTTTAGACACCATAAGGCTGAGGAACAGACTGTCTAAAGCATCCATGGTCATCCTTATTTTCCTGACTATAATCCACATAATGCTGGAATCGAGACATCAGTCATTCAGACTCTTCCATTTCTGTTAATATTATTTTCCTTAACAACCACATACAAGGGTAAATTATACAGATGATTTTATTCTTTTTCCTAAGTCTTGGTGAAATTACTCACCCTCTCAGTCTCATCTGAAAACCAGAGTATATTCATCTTTAATAATGAAATTTATTTCCTTGTAAATCATTTAGAAATCCTGGAAAATGACATCCAGTGTTCAGCTCAAACCAAAAGGTTTCCTTTCTCCTGTGACCCAGCCGTCACTCAGAATCCTGCCCAGCAAAATTTTCGGGCTGTTTATTTTTTTTAACTCCCACTGAATGCCAGAAAAGAACAAACTATTCTAATGAGGGAGAGAAAGAGAAAGGAAAGGGGACAGTGGGGAAACATGACGAAATTTGATTTTAAGAGTTGTGTAGAGATAAGGGCCAGCAAAGTGCATGGAAATGCCAAAGATGTGGGGAAAGGGGCTGAGCCTCTGGGGCACAGCAAGAGGTTTGCTCTGCAAAACTCCCAGAAATCCTCAGAATGCATAGGAAGGTACAAGAGGGCTCCTCCTGATCTCTTCCAAGTCAGCTGCTCTACTCAGAGAGGTTATTTTAATTATTCCTGGGGGGTTCTGAGTGAGGCTGGGCTTGGCCAGGCCGGAGGTGGCTCGTGGTGCCCAGATGGCACAGGCAGCCACGAGCACGGCGAGGGCAGCACAGGACATCTGCCCCCAGCAGCACCTGAGCCTGGAGATGCCTTTCCTGCTGCTCCAGCCTCACTGGGTTTTTATCATGTTAAACACACCCACTTCATCTCCTGAATATTATTGTTTTATTCCTCCCTGGAGCCCCGTGACAACAATGAAAGAGCATTGCAGATGAAGGCAATTTAAAACATCATTTCTGTGTGAGGCTAGAAAACACCCAAGGACGTGGAGAAGAACCAATGGGGACTAAAAAACATGAATGGAAATGGAAGCTCAGCAGGACTTCAGATTTCACATATTCCCAGCACAAGCAGCAGCTTCCCATTTCTGTTCAGTGTGGCAATAAAAGTCACAGACTGGCTGGGTTTAGGTTCATTTCTCCACACAAGCATGAATATTGTATTTAAGTGCTTTTCTAGGTCAAAGCTGTGCAGTATAACTTTGCTTGACCCGGGTGTTTAGAGCAGATGTGCAGATTCGTGTTAAATTTACACACAAATATTGCACACAGGTTCAGGAAATACTGTAAAAATTTACTGATGCTTCCAGCACTTGAGTCATCTCTTAAGGTTTCATTTTCCAAAAGTTTACACCAAAATTTGTGGGAGAATGAAAGTGATTGCATAGAAAACTTTTCCTACAATGTCGTGCAGTATATTAAATTCATTTAGGATTTAATCTGGCATTGTTGCCTTTTTGAGGGAGAAAAAGAACGCAGAACTGGAGAAATGCCACTTAATGAATTTTCTCTGTTCCTTATCTACATCTGCCAGTTCCTGCACATTGAATATAAAGCCATTTTTTCAATTAATGCCTGGAAAATTGTATTTTTCTGACAGTCATCTCTGCTGCAACCAAATGGAGCATGACAAACACAGAATGATTCTGATGCTGCAAAAATAGCAAAAGCACAGCACATCTAACACAACAATGAAAAAAACCCACCATAAAACTTTTAAGAGAATGTTTGAAATTGGCTCAAATTAGGAGCTGAAGAATGAAGAATTTACATTTGCATTAATTGAACAAATAAAGCAGTCATTGCTTATTAAATTCCTTCTGTTCTTTTTCTAATGCAGCCAGAAAATA